TGTTAACCTGTAACCGTACACTTGAAAAAAAGAAAACCTGTAACCTGTGATCTTGACCTCTGTAGATCAACCTCATGAGCTACCAAACAAACAAAAAACAAAAACGGTAGTATGAAAATTTCAAAAAGTCCCAATTTAAACTTCAAACCAAGTTCATAAGTATAAGTTGTTGAAATCAAACCAGCAATTAACGTTAAGCAGACATGAAAGCATAACCATGAACTTGAATTGAACATTGAATTGAAATTGACCAAAATATTGCTAATTTCTGCCAATAATCACACTGTCATCATTAAAACTGTCTAAATGCAATAAATAAAACTGACCACATATTACCCTCATTTGATGCAGTGACAATAATTTAATTTCAGCTTTGACTACTACAAGAAAACCTTTCAGCAAGACAACCTACAGCAGAACCTGATCCTGCTTTGTCTCTCCCAACTTGAATTACAGCAAACAACCCAGAAATACAGAAAGAAAACATAACCTTGATCTTGGGGGAAAGGAGAGAAAATGAACAGTAAGTTCAAGTGTAAACCCGTAATCTTGATTTTAGAGGGAAAGAAACATGTGAAATCAACCAAGAAGCAAACGCTAAAGAGAATGTAAAGAAAATAATACAAATTGAGAAAAGCTATCTTAACTAAAACCTGTAAAATATTAAGAAAAATGTAGAAAACGAAAACTAAATTGTAAATGTGAAATGTAAGAGGAGAACAAAATCAGGCAAAAATACAAAAAAACTTGAACTTGAAAAGAGAAAAAAAAAAATAAGATCTGTAGTAAATAAAAACTCAACTAGTAGGCTACAATCTATTTTGTCCAGCTGCTGGCTTTTTATACATTTTCCTGCATTGCATCACTTCATTCCGTTAAATACAGGTGAATAACTGAATCCATTAACTACTTAAAAAAAAAGAAGATGCCTTCAAGTTATCTCCCACATGGGGCTCAAATAATAATCCAATAACCTCTTTTCCTTCATGGGCATTTCAAACCAGAAGCAGCTGTAAAGCAAAGCTAAGTTAAGCAGCTCCTTCTGTAGCTTCTTGGACTAGACAGCGATTCGACTTATCATTCATTAACGCTCAACTGAATCAATGCTTTGATATTCATCTGAACCGTTTCAATGACCTACACTGTAAAAAATGACCGTGAATTTAACGGTAAAAGACTGTAAAAATGCTACAGTACAGGCAGAGGGGTACCTGGGGGCCCCAGGCAAAATTAATCAGTGAGGCCCTTGTAAAAGATTTTTTTTTTTTGTTAATGTATCTTTGTTGCCTAGTGATATAATTATACAGCATATGAAATGCAGACAAAACACATCTAACAGTATCCACCTTTTTCTTGTCGTAAAAATGGGCGCGGCCATTTGCAAATTATATGGGTCTGGCTTCCGGTCTCATCTGCGTCCACTCCGTCCAGCTATTTTTAGCTGAACAAAACAGTTCATTTTGCTGCTTGATATTGAAAGTTGGTGTGTCTTATCATATTATTTTAATGTATTATCTGAAATTATGAACACACTGGCTTATAGTGCAAACAGTTTTACCGTTTACGGCACGTTGTTATTCTCCTCGTTATTTACCTATAGCGGCTAATGAACCGGAAGTCTCACCCATAGGCTTACTTCCGCGTTGAAGAAAAAGGTGGATAAAATTGTCTTCTCTCCTGAAATAAATGTTGCCAGAAGCCCATCAACCACCAGACTTCCATGACTGACTGATGAAATAACCGAGTCAATTTCAATTACGGATCCATTTTTGTTAGCATTTTCAAGCTGATTTTGGTCAGTGAATTCTCGTTATTTATTTTATTATTTAGCCTAATAGTTATTTGAATTAAGTGCCTATTCTAAACAGGTATTTATTGAATTATTTTATGTATATCAGCAAGTGAACGAGTTGCGGCAAAGGTCATTAAAATAACTGTTTAGTTGTGTATCTCTGTGCATGCGTTTCTCTTCGCGAGACACGAATAATATCTTTTGTGTAGCATAATGAATTCAAGCACAATATCGAACGGAGAAAAAAATATTTATCATTTGTAATTAATTAGACTGTCAAAATGGGAATGTTAAAATATTTCAGACACAGTTATTGCATGACAACCTAGCCCGTTATCGTTTGCTCATGGAAACAATGATAAATAAAATGTTTTGGTTTGGAGTGGAATAGAGTGTGGGCAGAAACATAAATTGGTGCCTATGCTTACCGTTGTCCTGTTTCCTCTTTTCCTCCTTTTTTTTTTTTTTTTTGCTTGAATTTTTCAGTTCATTCCTAAATTGTGCAAGCTCAGCTTCCATATGGAATGGATTAAAAACGCTCGGGTCCCGCGTTCTGTTCTGCTCCAGATCATGCATTTTCTAATCTACAGCACCGCGAGGACGCGCTGCACCTATTTGAAAAAGGCGGCCGAGGAGGCAAAAGCATAACCAGTGTATCGAGAGAGGGGTCCCATAGAGGGGATGGAGTAGAGCCCTGCATTTCAGCCCGGGCCCAACGGGCCCCGGCTTTTTTACGGGCCAATTTTCACGTCACAGTTCAGACGCGGGCCGGGCCTCGGGCCTGTTTGAGGCTTCTCCTTATTTTAATATGTTTGACATCCATGATCCATCAATTAGTGATGGAAAAAATTGCTGCGCTGGTGGAAACAACACCAGACCGTGCTACCGCGACAAGAGCGGCTCTATGGTGTTTATTGCCCCGCCAGCAGCAGCATGTAGGCTATGGTGCGTGCTGTCAGCGCAACTGAAGAGTAGACCCTTCACAGTTACTAATGATGTAATACTCTTACCTTTATGAGCAAAAATTACGGCGTATCCACTGAAAAAAAATGTAAGTGATCGCGCTGGCGCCTCCATGTCCTGCAAAGCGTGTTTCAGCTTCCACTCTCTGGGCTAACTATTGGATATAGCGACATTTGTCTAGGTTTAACGTTTAAACATTGTGATATGCTTGAACTGTTTTATATCTATAGATTTTATTTTAGGCAAGTCGTGATGATTTGAGAAGGCCGCTGGCCGCTTGGTCGTTACTTTAAACAACAAAAACGTATATTTAACGAACAAAAAAATGCTCCAAACTTTTTTATAAATTAACTTAATAAAAAACGAAACGAAATAAAATCACTTTGCCATTACATACAAAACTGAACTATTTTAATAGCTGGAACAGTAGGATAAGCTGTTTTGGGAGAAGGAGGGGGGGGGGGGGAAGACGGGCTCGGGTCGGTAATTCTGATAAGCTGTCGGACACGGGCCGGGCTAGGGCCTAAATTTGAGACCCGTGCAGGGCTCTAGGACAGAGAGATGTCGCTGCGTGTTATAGCTATTAATATTAACATTCCTGTTGTGGTCGGCCATCGGGGGCCCCCTTAAAATGCGGGGCCCCAGGCATTTGCCTGCCCCATTTCCATGCCTCTACCTACAGGTATAGGCTAATAATGCTATTTACATCATTCATCATGATACTTTTTGTACTTTAAATGTAAGCGATTCACCGTGTAAATATAATTCACCGGGTATAAAGTCCCTATACTAACAAATACGAAATCTCAGAGAATACATTTTTTACTTGTTGGTAAAGTTATGATTTTCACAAAGCATTTCACTATGGGATTTTTTTTTTCTCTCTCTCTCTCTCTCTCGATATTTAAATAGCTATAATTATAGCTTACTTCAAAATCTGGGAATGATTGTCTTTCTTTTCTGTTATATTTGATAGTTTGTTACGGAGCGGCAAGCTATAAAAAATAATTTGTCACATCTCGTGCGCTCCTGCTCTTCAATATCAATAGGGGGCAACAGAAGATGCTTTTACTGAGCCCTCAGCGCTCACCAGAATTACTTTTTAACATGGACGGCCTTAAACAAAAAGCATTTTAGGAATCGCATAATCCTTTTTAACTTTTTGGGATAGTTCTCCCAAATATATGAAAATGCTGTCATCATTTACTCACCATGTCGTTGCAAACCTGTATGAGCCTATTTTTTCTGCGAAACACAAAAGTAGATACATTGAAAAAATGTTTTGGATATTTTCTTTAAAAAAAAAAACGCTTTTATCTTGACTTTCTAAACTTTCCTTTTAAACTATGACCTGCAATTTTGTCAACAAATTTTAGCAATAAATATTTATATACGAAAAACTGCATTTCATTAATTGAACCATCAATTATTTAGTCTGAGGACTTCTATGAATCACTCAGACACAAACTAAGGACTAAATGGTGGAATTGTGTGTTCATGCCACTGTAAAAGTGAGCTAAATGGGACAGTGGCAAAACACAAAGAAATACATTGTTCTGTATTTGTTTCAATAATGGAGAAGTTCATAGCAGCAGCTAGTTTAGGTCAATTCTGTGGAATGTACACATAATGAAAAAATGTCCTATTTAATGAAATAATTTAAAATAAAAATAAAAATGCTATGGCAGTGAAACAATCCTTTCAGTGATGATCAGATATGCAATCAGATATGTTTTGGGGGAAGGAACTAGTTTTTGTAGAGGACTGTGATGCAAAAGGGTATGAGAGCATGTATCCAGGTCAAAGACAAGATGATGAATATCCTTTAAAAAAAAAACCTGGTAAGCCTCAGATGGTGCACTGATTCTCAGCACTGGATCTCATTTCAGAACATCGCTCTTCACTATTTGTTATTGTGTTGAAATATCTTGCTTAATTTATTTAGATAAAACTTACAACGTTTATATCTTGGGTACATTAGGCAATGTTAAAGATTCTATGTACAAAAGGTAAATAATACATATAGAAAAATAAAAACGTTCTGCAGTACTACATATAGTGCCTATTGATTGCAAAATTCATTCATAAACAGAAGACTTTTTACGCTTTGCTGTTCTAGCACATTGACACAAGGAATAATCATTTCCCCTCTTTGGTTTGTAATTGGCATAATTTCTCAAAATCAAAAAAAAAGTATTTAATTAATTCATCATTTACTCAACCTCATGTTGTCCCAGTCAAACTGGGAGACCTTTTCTTTCTTTCCCAGTCAGACTTTTTATTTTTTTTTATTGTGTGGGACAAAATAAGAGAAGGTCATACACATTTGGAACAACATGAAGGTGAATAACTGATGACTGAATTTAAATTTTTTATCTTTGATCAATGCTAATCAGTCTGTCAGTCACAATGCTGGGGACTTTGCCCTTAATTAGCACCAAATCACATGGTAAACGAAGTGCCATTTTCATTGTACGAGCCATCCATAGAGCGCCGCGTGGAAACGTACATTTCAGTGGTGGCCCGTGAGGACCGTCTCGCTGACATGTAGTTCTTCCCCAAGCACCAGATGTCCTGTAAGATCTTCCGGAAGTGGTTTCTGAAATTCACCCCAATGAAGGCGTACAACAGGGGATTGAGACAAGCGTGCAGGTACGCCAAGCTTCTCGTTATGATCACGGTCAAGCCGATGGACTCCTCAACGCTGCATTCCTGCTCTTGAAACATGTTGATGGTATAAAACAACAGTGCTATATTATAAGGCATATGGCAGACCACAAACACAAGGACCACAGTGAGGACCACACGCACTGCCTTGTGTCTCTGAAAGTTCTTGGCCTGAAGGAGGGTGACAATGACGCTGGAGTAACAGAATCCCATGATCAGCAGCGGCAAGAAGAAACCCAACGCAACCTGAGAGCTGGGCACCACAGTTTTCATCACACGTGCCGTTTCATTTGACTGAAATTTAAAAAAGCAGACATATGGCACGTCTTCACTGTCAGTAACGTTCCAAATGCTGGATTCAGATGGGCCGGGTTGGTAACGCTCATAAAACAGGAAGGTAGGAAGGGACAAGAGCAGGGCCGACAACCAGACGACCGCGCAGACCAGGTGGCTGTAAAGCAGAGTGCTTGAACGCAGCCGGAAGGACCGGCGGGCCTGTACGATGGCAAGGTAGCGATCTCCGCTGATGCAAGCCAGGAGCAGCATGCCGCTGTAGAGGTTCACGCTGTAGATGCCACGCAGAAGCTTGCAAGACAAGTTCCCCATGGACCACCCATACTGCTCGCTGTAGATAATCAAAGGCAGTGCCACCACAAACAGGATGTCAGCGATGGCCACGTTCAGCAGATACACGTCAGTCATGGACTTGGTCCGCTTGTAGAGAGCGTACGTCACGATCACGAGAGCGTTGCCGATGAAACCAACCAAACAAATGATAGGGTGAACAAATAACTGGAGGAAGTTCTCAATATTCACTTTGCGCTCCATCGAACACGGCTCCACCATTTCATCATACGCAGCTTGTAACATTTCAGAGTAGTTATCATTGATGTAATCATATTCCTCCATTTTCTCCCCTTGAGTCTGCAAGGAAAGAAAAAAGAACAGGAACATAGGTCAAAACCAAAATTTATGGCAGAGCTCAGTTAACTGAAATCTAACGTACAATTAGGTTTAAAATGTAAAAAGTATTTCTATTACAATATCAAAAACAAAGAAATGCTTAATTTTTCCTAAGAATGCAGGAGACACTGGTGCCCAGTGTTCGAACTATACCGTGGACTTTGGGGGAGCCCACTTGTTTGGGGGCTTACAATGACTTACAAAGAGACATAACAGCTACAAGTGTATGCACTACTTGCTTTATGCAAGCACCATATAGGATAAATCACTATACAGGATTTACCCTATTATACTTTATCGACACGAATTGATAGTTGCCCAGCGGGCACCTTGATGTCAAAAATTAATCAAGATTTGATCAAGATGCTGTAAAGTTTTTTTAAAGTTCATTTGAAGTTCAGCTTTATTGACAATTTCTTCTGGTGGTTAATGGGGTAAAAATAGGAGGTTATCCTGCACTGAAATTGGTTTAATATTTATGTAGGCCAATATGTTTGACGTTCAATATACGTCAAATCAACATCAAGTTTTAAACGTCTAATTGGTGTCATATTGACGTCACATTGACATCAATGATTAGTATGTTTAATCAGGATGTATGTAAAGTTATGGTGTAATATGAATTTGTAGTTAGCTTGATATAATATAACTACAATAACTACAATATAATTGTAAAACCACCATTTACAGTATTACAACTACAATTACCAGTTAATTATTGTATTTGTTTTTGTATTTTTTTTTTTCAAATTAATTTTTTTCCATTTTAATTTTTCTTGACTCCAACAGTTAAATTAAAAAAAAATATTAATCAAAAAGTATGGCTAATTAATTGTAATCATAAAACAATTTAACAGTAATTTATTTTAAAAGTTATTAAAAGTTTAACAAAACTGACATTTTAGGCCCTATGAAAGATGCATTTTATTTATTTTCTCAAATTCAGTTTGTGTTTTCCAATAATTTTCTTGAATTATGAAAAATGTAGAGCCATAATGCCCATTTAATGAGAAAGCATTCTCTGCTGTTTAACACACCTGTAGATGCTGCTCTTTCCGGGTTTCTCAGCAGCTGAAGTCGTCATAGAATGGAAGACTACGACAAACATATATATATATTTTTTTGCATTCACATTTGCTCAAATAGCAAAATAAAAACTCCACGATAATGTTTTTATTACTTTCAAAAATAGGAAAAAAATAGAGAGTGACTGCTAACCACAGTCAGAAGAGAGAACAACATCAAATTTACCGTCACGTGTTTATTATATACAGGTGCATCTCAATAAATTAGAATGTCGTGGAAAAGTTCATTTATTTCAGTAATTCAACTCAAATTGTGAAACTTGTGTATTAAATAAATTCAGTGCACACAGACTGAAGTAGTTTAAGTCTTTGGTTCTTTTAATTGTGATGATTTTGGCTCACATTTAACAAAAACCCACCAATTCACTATCTCAACAAATTAGAATACTTCATAAGACCAATAAAAAAACATTTTTAGTGAATTGTTGGCCTTCTGGAAAGTACAGTGGGTACGGAAAGTATTCAGACCCCCTTAAATTTTTCACTCTTTGTTATATTGCAGCCATTTGCTAAAATCATTTAAGTTAATTTTTTTTCCTCATTAATGTACACACAGCACACCATATTGACAGAAAAACACAGAATTGTTGACATTTTTGCAGATTTATTAAAAAAGAAAAACTGAAATATCACATGGTCCTAAGTATTCAGACCCTTTGCTCAATATTTAGTAGAAGCACCCTTTTGATCTAATACAGCCATGAGTCTTTTTGGGAAAGATGCAACAAGTTTTTCACACCTGGATTTGGGGATCCTCTGCCATTCCTCCTTGCAGATCCTCTCCAGTTCTGTCAGGTTAGATGGTAAACGTTGGTGGACAGCCATTTTTAGGTATCTCCAGAATCTTATCCGCTTATCTGCTCATCACCTGTCCAATACAGTCCCAACAGTGAAGCATGGTGGTGGCAGCATCATGCTGTGGGGGTGTTTTTCAGCTGCAGGGACAGGACGACTGGTTGCAATCGAGGGAAAGATGAATGTGGCCAAGTACAGGG